ATTGTGTTTTTTTGTTGACCCAGTAAGATCCTTGACTGAAAGTACTTTGTGTGTGTGTGTGTGTGTGTGTGCGTGTGTGCGCGCGCGCGTGCATTCATATGTATATGGGTGCATATGTATGCAGATACACATGCACCTGTGTGTACATGCATATGGAGGCCAGAGGTTGATAGTAGGTGTCTTCCTCAACTCCTCTCCACTTTGTTTACGGAGGCAGGGTCTCTCATGGAACCTGGAGCTTAGTCTAGTTGGTCAGCTTTGCTTCAGGGATCCCCTGTCTCCACCTTCCAACCACTGGGGTTTCAGGTAGGCCGTTATGCCCTTCCAGTTTTTATGTAGGCTCTGGGGATCCAAACTGGTTCTCGTGCTTACAGAGCAAACACTTTATCCAGGACCTGTCTTTGAAGCCCATAAATACTTTTCTTTTTCCTTGAGTATAGGATCTACTCTAGGATGAAATTTTGGGCTAAATTACCCTGTATTTACTTCATTAGTAGAAAACACTGAGCATCCTTCTGGCACTGTGCAAATCCAAAATTGCCCTCTCATGCTCCATTTTATTAAGGAAGTGTCTCTATTCTTTCAGTAGTTGCTGTTAGAATTTAGCTTAGGATCAGCTGCATTTATAAACTATTCTGCTGTGCAGTTTAGAAATTCTCAAGAACATGGCAGGTTGTAAAGATTGGTTTAGGAAAGAAAGAAGTTTAGTACTGTGACCTTAAACATTCTTTAATTTTGTAATTATATTATTTATTGGTTTATTTACGTGTGGTGGTGGGGGGTGCAGGCACATGAGCCCTGATGTGTGTGTGGAGGTCAGAGAATGCCTTGTCCGAATCAGTTTTCTCCTTCCACCAGGTGGATCCTTGAGTTCGAACTCAGGTTGCCTTAAACATTCTTAGGATTGTTACCTTACAAAAATACCATGCCTATGCCCTGAGAACAATATTCTATTTGTAAAGAATAGAAATGACCATTCAAACCAAACCCAGCCACACCCTTCTGTAACTTCAGCGGTAGCCCTGCATACTGTTCTTGTTTAGGTCTAACTAGCCTTTCCTGTAGTCTAGCCTTTCCCCCGTATTTCTGCATTGGGATGTTTATGCTGAAGGTATTCCTGTAAGGAAGATCTTTTCTTTCCAAATTGCTGGTCTCAAAGGTACCAGCAGGTCAAATCCCAAGACAAAGAGAAGTTCTGTTGAGTAAAAGCCACTCCAGGTGCTCGGAGTTCTCGAGAAACAATGCCTCGCTGATCTGATTGCACTTGTGTTCTGGCCAGATTATCCTGCTTCATGAGGTTGCTGACATTTCACACCAATTGGCTCCTGGGTGAGGGAGGGATGGACTGCTGAGTGCTTAGTGGTTTTTCTATCAGAGGACCGGTGAGACCTCCTTTACCCCTGCCCCACTCTAAGCTAGATGTGCGGGGTCTTCTTTTTTAAAAATATTATTATTATATTTAAATTTTTTCAGTTTCATACACATAAACAACGTTTTGTGATTATATTTGCCCCTCCCTTATCCTCCGATTCTTTCTATCTAGTCTCCCAGTGAAATAACCCTGCCCTGCAGCCACCATTAATAGTCAATCAACAGCTCTTCAGCAAGGGGGCGGGGCCGCTGGCACCTCCTCTTTTCCTGGTGGAATGTTGTAGGACTCAGTCTTAGACGAATCCATTGCTGCAGTGTGTTGGTGATTGTAATGGCGTGTTGTGTCTGGACAGCACGCCTGGCTCTTGCTTCTCTTGTAGAGCTTCAGCACTCTGAAGCGAAGAAGCCTGGGGTTCCAGTTCCTGTCTTCCTCATCAACAAAGACCTCTCTTATTATTCAGTTCCTCTT